GTGTGTGTGTGTGTGTGTGTGTGTGTGTGTGTGTGTGTGTGTGTGTGTGTGTGTGTGTGTGTGTGTGTGTGTGTGTTTGTGTGTTTGTGTGTGTGTGCTGTGTGTGGTGTGTGTGTGTGGGTGGTGTGTGTGTGTGTGTGTGTGTGTGTGTGTGTGTGTGTGTGTGTGTGTGTGTGTGTGTGTGTGTGTGTGTGTGTGTGTGTGTGTGTGTGTGTGTGTGTGTGTGTGTGTGTGTGTGTGTGTGTGTGTGTGTGTGTGTGTGTGTGTGTCTGTGTGTGTGTGTGTGTGTGTGTGTCTGTGTGTGTCTGTGTGTGTCTGTGTGTCTGTGTGTGTGCGTGCGTGCGTGCGTGCGTGCGTGCGTGCGTGCGTGCGTGCCTGCTGCGTGCCTGTGTGTGTGTGTGTGTGTTTATGTGTTTGTGTGTTTGTGTGTTTGCGTGTTTGTGTTTTTGTGTGTTTGTGTGTTTGTGTGTTTGTGTGTTTGTGTGTTTGTGTGTTTGTGTGTTTGTGTGTTGTGTGTGTTTGTGTGTTTGTGTGTTTGTGTGTTTGTGTGTTTGTGTGTTTGTGTGTTTGTGTGTTTGTGTGTTTGTGTGTTTGTGTGTTTGTGTGTTTGTGTGTTTGTGTGTTTGTGTGTTTGTGTGTTTGTGTGTTTGTGTGTTTGTGTGTTTGTGTGTTTGTGTGTTTGTGTGTTTGTGTGTTTGTGTGTTTGTGTGTTTGTGTGTTTGTGTGTTTGTGTGTTTGTGTGTTTGTGTGTTTGTGTGTTTGTGTGTTTGTGTGTTTGTGTGTTTGTGTGTTTGTGTGTTTGTGTGTTTGTGTGTTTGTGTGTTTGTGTGTTTGTGTGTTTGTGTGTGTGTGTGTCTGTGTCTGTGTCTGTGTCTGTGTCTGTATCTGTATCTGTATCTGTGTCTGTGCGTGTCTGTGTCTGTGTGTGTGCGGGTGTGTGCGGGTGTGTGCGGGTGTGTGTGGGTGCGGCTGTGTGTGTGTGGGTGTGTGTGTGTGGGTGTGGGTGTGGGTGTGTGTGTGTGTGTGTGTGTGGGTGTGTGTGTGTGTGTCTGTGTTTGTGTGTGTGTTTGTGTGTGTGTGTGGGGTTGTGTGTGTGTGTGTGTTCGTGTGCGTGGTTGTGTGTGTGGTTGTGTGTGTGTGTTTCTGTGTGTGTGTGTGTGTTTGTGTGTGGTTGTGTGTGTGTGTCTGTGTGTGTGTCTGCGTGCATGTCTGTCTGTGTCTGTCTGTGTGTCTGTCTGTGTGTCTGTCTGTGTGTCTGTCTGTGTGTCTGTCTGTGTGTCTGTCTGTTTGTCTGTTTGTGTCTGTCTGTTTGTCTGTTTGTGTCTCTCTGTGTCTCTGTCTGTGTCTCTCTCTGTGTCTCTCTGTGCCTCTCTGCGTCTCTCTGTGTATCTCTGTGTGTCTCTGTGTGTCTCTGCGTGTCTCTGCGTGTCTCTGCGTGTCTCTCTGTGTCTCTCTGTGTCTCTCTGTGTCTCTCTGTGTGTCTCTGCGTCTCTCTGCGTCTCTCTGTGTGTCTCTGCGTGTCTCTGTCTGTCTCTGCATGTCTCTCTGCGTGTGTCTCTGCGTGTGTCTCTGCGTGTGTCTCTGCGTGTGTCTCTGCGTGTGTCTCTGCGTGTGTTTCTGCGTGTGTCTCTGCGTGTGTCTCTGCGTGTGTCTCTGCGTGTGTCTCTGCGCGTGTCTCTGCGCGTGTCTCTCTCTGCGCGTGTCTCTCTCTGCGCGTGTCTCTCTCTGCGCGTGTCTCTCTCTGCGCGTGTCTCTCTCTGCGCGTGTCTCTCTCTGCGCGTGTCTCTCTCTGCGCGTGTCTCTCTCTCTCTCTCTCTCTGCGCGTCTCTCTCGATCTCTAGCTCTCTCTGCGCGTCTCTCTCTCTCTCTGGGCGTCTCTCTCTCACTCTCTCTGCGCGTCTCTCTCTCTGCGCATCTCTCTCTCTCTCTCTCTGCGCGTCTCTCTCTCTCTCTCTCTCTGCGCGTCTCTCTCTCTCTCTCTCTCTCTCTGCGCGTCTCTCTCTCTCTCTCTCTCTCTCTCTCTCTCTCTCTGCGCGTCTCTCTCTCTCTCTCTGCGTGTCTTTCTCTGCGTGTCTCTCTGCGTGTCTCTCTGCGTGCGTGTCTGTGCGTGTCGGCGCGTGTCTGCACGTGTCTGCGCGTGTCTGCGCGTGTCGCGCGTGTCTGCACGTGTCTGCGCGTGTCTGCGCGTGTCTGCGCGTGTCTGCATGTGTCTGCGAGTCTGCAAGTCTGTGTGTCTGTGTGTCTGTCGTGTGTGCGTGCGTGCGTGCGTACGTGCGTGGGTGGGTGGGTGTGTGTGTGTGTTGGTGGGCCTCTGTTTGCCAGGCGACCAAATGAGACCCTGAGTGCGGTAAAAGTTAGACCGCTCCCTCAAAGCTCGCAATAATGACCACCTTGGGAAGCAGCTCCCTGAAATTCGGGTGACGCGAGGACGAAAGGCGCAAAAACTTATGCACTTCTTCTTCCCATTCAGCAGAATACGGTTGTGGGTCAAATAGGTATGGAACCCTGGTAAATGGCAATGTTGATCCACTCCATTCGTACATTCTTGAGACGGCGGTTCGGAACCACCAGTCATCCCCCTGCGCCCGGAATACTCTGTGCCTCGAGACGAAGCTTCCCACCTCCACCCGAACACCACCTGGCACAAAGCGCGGCTTTCTTTGGCGAAGCGCAATCCGCACAATACGGCGGGTCTTGTTGGCATTGTTGTTCTCATGTCACGTGTTTGTTGCTGTCAGTGCTGGATTGCCTGCGGATATTCTAATGGCCTATATATTGGGGGATTACAATCCCACTACCATTAAGCCTCGGATCAACGTATGTGCCATGGTCTAAGCTCCCTGTATGACGTTGATTGGAACTCTCATATTGCAAGGTGTCCAAATATATGGAACATGGCCAGCCAACTTCCAGAACATCGAAAGAAAAGTCCTTGCCTGCCGCATGTCAGCTATGGCTTACGCCCAACCGGCAAGCCTTTACGCGAATTGGATCCGTCGGCAAACCTCTCGGAATGATGTAGCTAGGTGGCTCAACAGAGTCTCGCAAACAGAATCTTGTGAAGTTTCCGAAACCTGCAAACGCACACCAACTCAGAGTGCGGAAAACTGCTATGTGCGGAAACGTGCACATGAGCTAAGCCAGGCGACTGGCTTAAGGTGCTTGAGAGGTAGAGGAATTTGCCCACACGCCTGACTGGGCATCCCACACCTCGACTGGGCTTCTTGGAGGCATCAATTTCTTGCGATAACGATTGGTTGAGCAAGAAAAAACAATTTTAGCAGTTCAGTGGTTGGATTTCAAGCACTAAACCACAATATGCAAACATGTAAGATGACTCCGAACTCAGCTCAAGCACTACTCCCGGAGTCCTCCCTTGCTCCCTTCCGAGTCTCGCCCGATCCATCCGCCGAGAGTCGCCTTGAAACACTTGTGGCGCATCCTCGTTACGCACTGCATCCAGACCGAAGCGCGCCACAAAGTAGGCCAAGTTTGGCAGAAGCCCTGCACGGCTCCAATCGGATGTGACTTTTGTTGGCATGCGGGGTGTTTCGCAAAAAGTTGATGTCCAAAGATCCGCCCCTAGCATAAGGGGGAAGGGGGTGCCTCCCAATTCTCCATATTTAAAAAGGTGGGGATGTCAGCCAAGCACTTGTCTGCGATGTGAAAAGCTCAGCGTCCACACATCAGGCAACGACCGGTTTTTTGGCCCGTCTTGGGCACCTGTCGGGATCTATGCGGATCTGCTCGCACAAACACGAGCACAAAGAAGCAACCAACCACCTGGGATCAAAGCTTGATTGTGTTTTTTTTGGTCTTTTTCCCCACCCGACAGGAAGGGGTTGTTAGATTTTATGTTGGAATCCGCGTTTGCGATGCTTCTACACCACGCCCCCACCCAGTATCCCGCCAGAGCAGCTCGCCAGTGGATCCCGCCGAGTATCCCGCCAGAGGCTCGCCAGTGGATCCCAGCCAGTATCCCGCCAGAGCTGCTTGCCAGTGGATCCCGCTGAGTATCCCAGAGCAGCTCGCCAGTGGATCCCGCCGAGTATCCCGCCGGACCGGCCCCCGCCCAGCATCCCGCCAGAGCGGCTCGCCAGTGGATCCCGCCAAGTATCCCGCCAGAGCGGCTCGCCAGTGGATCCCGCCGAGTATCCCACCAGAGCAGCCCGCCAATGGGAGTAGTTCGTGAGTGGATCCCATCAAGTATCACGCCAGCCAGTGGATCCCGCCGAGTATCCCACCACAGCAGCCCGCCAGTGGAATCTGGCAAGTATCCCGCTGAGTATCCCAGAGCAGCTCGCCAGCGGATCCCGCCGAGTATCCCGCTGAGTATCCCTTGTCGGTGGATCCTGCCGAGTATCCGGCCAATATCGAGCCAGAGCGGCTCGCCAGTATTCGCCAGTGGATCCCGCCAGTATCCCGCCAGAGCAGCTCGCCAGTTTGGTTTTGCTGTTGGTGCCCGCGCGTGTGCTCTGCAGAGCGCGGGGCTGGCGGTGGCTTCTGCAGATGCATAACCCTGGTGCCTTGCCGCCGTGATCGGCCACGTGCAAGTAGTTGTTGCTCGCCAATAAGCTTGAAGCAGTGCTTTGCCATTCTTGCGCGGCAAATTATCAGTGGGAAGGGGTTGATTGGAATTTGGAGTCGAAGTCCCTAGGATGTGGAGGAATTTGTCGTAATGGTCGTAAGCTCGTGAGTGGAGGGTGGGGATTGCTCGAAGCGAAGTATTTTTTTTTCTCGGCCATATGGCCGAAAAAATTGAAGAAGGGTCACCTCTCGGAAAGTGGTGGACATAAAACCCCACCTGAAGACGTCCAAAGGGTCCCTGATTAAGATTCATGCCCAAATGCCGTCTCAATATATGCCCAAGCAGTCCGACACAAGCTGATCTGATGTTCGATCAACGATTGAACCCGCAATGCAGCCACCAAATAGGTCAAGCCAGAATTGGTGAGCCATGGCGACCATCTGTTGGCCGTGGGAGCATCAGGTAGCGCTGACATCTGCTTCTTGGTGTGGCAAAGTCCACCCAAATACCTGAATTGACACGTCACCGGATGTCTAACACATGGGAAAAGATCAAGTCCGGCGCTCCGAAATCGGCTTGGAGTTTGCTGTTCCGTGTCCCCTTGGCCCCTCGGAAACGAAGCTCCGCGACTCTCGATTTTTTCGAGTCAAGCTGCTTCCCTTCCCGGCCTTGAATCTCGGCTTCCTTCACCTCAATTCGTTCCCAGTGGGCACGAACTGAGAGGCCACGAAGATGAATGATCCCCTGGCAGCAAGGGAACTCTATCAGGGGTGCTCCCTCATGATCGACTTCCGTGTGCTTTCCAAAAAAGGGTTTCTCACGTTTCAGACTCAAACTTGCAATAACTTTGGGCCCGGGTCCGTTCAGATGCACTGAATAATCTCCAGCCATTCAATGATTGAACTCATGCATCGTGTGGTTCGTCTCTAGGCGATGGATGCAACTGGTCCGTGAGCGGGTTAGTGGCTTGGCGGCTTCCTTCGTTGCTTTGTGGCTCAAATTGGCTTCCAATCACATGCAACTTTCTGGTGGGGAGCTCCCCGGATCATCTTGAATGTTCTCAGCACCTCCCGTCTCCCGACCAAGCGACTTGAGTTACGCCGCGGGTCTTCAGCCCGAAAACTCATTACATCTTCACAGGTCACTTTTCGCTCGGCTTGTCATGTGGTGCAGCAGGATTCCAACTGTCAAAGCACACGACATGTGAGCACGCAAAGTGTCTTGCGGAGAAACTCAAGCACAGGTTGGTCGCTATTTGGCCAACAATTGGTCACAGCTATAAAGCCCTATTAGCTTATGGCCCATCAAACACGCTGGCCCACAAATCCGATTTCAGGCTGAATCCGAATTTCAGACCGAGTTGCGAAGGCTCGGCACTGGAATTACTTGGACCAAGAGTCCAGACGTGAGCACCGAGCACCGCCCCACCTGCTTGGCATGCGCGGGGCTCTCGAAGTTGATGAAGACGAGTCCAACCTAGTGAAGTACCCCACTGGCAATACCAAACGCGAAGCTAGATCAAATTGAATTTACCAGGTCCGGAAGAAAAACAAAAGGCAGGCAAATGGCCAAATATGAGTTTATCAGTGTTCCTTTCACTCGGCAGAACAATGTCCCATTTTGGTCCGCGAGACGAAACAACTCTTGCCAATGCTCCACAGTCCGCAGTTGCAGGCTCTTTGCAACTGGCCATAGTCCCCAAGACAAACGTACGTGCATCTACCTGGGAGATGTGGAGAGATCTCCCAGAGCGATGTCTGGTCTATTCAATCCTAAGTGAGTACCCAGAACCATGCATCCATTTATGGCTGGGACCCTACGACCCTTCAACCCAGGTTTGATTCTGGCTCAACTGACAGTAGGCAACCGCTGGTTTGCCAATTGCTTCTGTGAGCCTACGTTCAATTCTGTCCAATTCCTTTGACCGACTTGTGTGCCAAAGGCCACAACTCTCGCCAGAGAAGCTGCATCCCAGCATCACCAGCCTCATTGGAGCTAGGCGTCTCCCTAACTCTGAGCTTACATCTGGTAGAATCAAATCAGGCACTTTTTCATGTGAAATGCTGCCCTCAAATTCTGACTGGGGGGCAAAGTGAAACTGCGGGTCGGGCACAATGACAGCTTAGGCTGCGTCTGACAAACTTCCCCCCGAACAGATGATTTTGCGGAAGGGGCGGTGTTTTTGACACATACCCAGATGAGAACGAGCTGTTTCGCCCACCCGTCCGTTATCCTTTTCCTCGGCCAAGCGGCAGGCTTGCTTGTCCATTGGCTTTGCGGCATGTAAATAAAATCAAAGCCGCCTGTGCCGACCGAGGGAGAACATGTCGCATGTTCCCTGCCCATCACGTCCAGCTTACCCTGTTTGCTGGCAAGGACATTGAACCAATAGGGGAACATGGACACTTCCCAAAAGCAAAGCGGACGAGAAGAAAGGGACACCTGCCAGCCTTTTCATGTTTTTATTGCTACACCAAACATCTTAATTGGAGCCAGGTGCCAATTTCGCCAGGTATCAAAATAGAGTCGAGCTTTGTGACTGGTTGGCTGTCTAGCAGGAAGAAGGCTGCCTTACATGGGAAACTGCACGAGAAGGAGAGCAGCATAACAGGCATTGACATTGCATGGCGGGTGTGCATGCCATGTCCAGACAGACGCCAAACCTCACCTGCAAACCAAGGCATCCGCTTCACATGAGCTCACATGAGCTTTGGCTTTTCTGGCGCGCATAGCAGCCGAGGACCACATCTGCAACTGACATGCATGATTCTCTAGCGGCATTCACAAACTTGGCAGCTGCCAAGTGGATAGGCCAAGTACAGCCACAAATCGAGTGCCCCTGTCTCTCCACGCGGAAACCCACCTGCCATCTCCTCTTGCATGAGTTCCACAAACCTCACTGCCAAAAACTGGTGGCCGTTGCTTGGTGCTAACGACCACTCGTTGTGGTTCGCTTCTACCAGCAGTTGCTGAGAACAAGGTGAACTGCGTGCTGGTGTATTGTAGTGTTCCTGGTGCTGCTTCACTGGCAGCAGGAAATTGCAGCGCCTTACAATGACACAGCTTGAACCTCTATTCATAGCTCACATCAGATCATGACGCTTTTCTTGGTCTTTTCAGATTTCCAATGCGCAACATTTGACATGGGCGAGCTCCAGAGTTGAAATATGCGGACACTGGCAGCAAAGCCATGGCCAGTTTCGACGTCTGCTCTGCATGACAAACAATGTACCTGATATATCCCCTCAAAGAGGCTTTGAGTGGAAAAAAGCTGCTCCGGAACGGACATGCTGCTGACAAGCCTCCAGCGCAGGAAAGTCCAGAGATAGATAGTGCATAGATACACGATGGAATCAGCACATGAATAAATGCATGAATGCTCGAGCGGACGGCTGGGGCGGACAAATGGACGGATGGACGGATAGACGGACGGACAAATGGATAGAGACTGAGAAACAAATAGAGAATAATATAGATGACCAGCATTCAAATGACCGAAAGCAGGATGAGACTCCCGTCCGCGTCGCATCTGGGTTTGTTTCCGCGCAGGCGATTTAGTTCCCTGCGCGCACCCGTCTACAATTTCACACTGGCCACAAGGCCAAGGTTTTCAACAGTTTGAAGCGAACCCAGGCAATGCGCCCTGAAGCCGAACAAGCCCAAGCTGTCTTTCACATTTGAGATATGGAAATTAAAGAACGAATGGAAACATGGGTACATTGTCGTACATGTATATGACGGTGTATGTACATACATTACATTACAGTACATTACATTACAATACAATACATTACATTACATTACATTGCAGTACATACATTGCATACATACATACATTACATTACATTACATTACATTACATTACATTGCATTACATTGCATTGCATTACATTACATTACATTACATTACATTACATACATACATACATTACATACATACATACATACATACATACATACATACATACATACATACATACATACATACATACATACATACATACATACATACATACATACATACATACATACATACATACATTACATACATACATACATACATACATACATACATACATACATACATACATACATACATACATACATACATACATACATACATACATACATACATACATACATACATACATACATACATACATACATACATACATACATACATACATACATACATACATACATACATACATACATACATACATACATACATACATACATACATACATACATACATACATACATACATACATACATACATACATACATACATTACATTACATACATACATACATACATACATACATACATACATACATACATACATACATACATACATACATACATACATTACATACATATACATACATACATACATACATACATACATACATACATACATACATACATACATACATACATACATACATACATACATACATACATACATACATACATACATACATACATACATACATACATACATACATACATACATACATACATACATACATACATACATACATACATACATACATACATACATACATACATACTTACTTACATACATACATACATACATACATTACATTACATTACATTACATTACATTACATTACATACATACATACATACATACATACATACATACATACATACATACATACATACATACATACATACATACATACATACATACATACATACATACATACATACATACATACATACATACATACATACATACATACATACATACATACATACATACATACATACATACATACATACATACATACATACATACATACATACATACATACATACATACATACATACATACATACATACATTACATACATTACATACATACATACATACATACATACATTAATTACATACATACATACATACATACATACATACATACATACATACATACATACATTACATACATACATACATACATACATGCATACATACATACATACATACATACATACATACATACATACATACATACATACATACATACATACATACATACATACATACATTACATTACATACATACATACATACATACATACATACATTACATACATACATACATACATACATTACATACATACATACATACATACGTACATACATACATACATACAGTAACATACATGCATACATACATACATACATACATTACATACACACATACATACATAAATACATACATACATACATACATACTACATACAGTAACATACAATACAATACATTACATTACATTTCAACACAATACAATACATTGCATTGGATACATACATTGCATACATACATACATACATACATACATACATACATACATACATACATACATACATACATACATACATACATACATACATACATACATACATACATACATACATACATACATACATACATACATTACATACATACAAACATACATACATACATACATTACATACATACATACATACATGCATGCATGCATACATACATACAAACATTACATTACATACATACATACATACACACATACATACATACAAACCATGCCATACATACATACATACATTACATTACATTAAGTACAAAACACACATACATACATACAAACACACAAAACAAACAACATACATGCCATTGCATTGCATTACATTACATTGCATCACATTACATTACATACACAAATTACATACATACATACATACATCAATACATACATACATACATTACATACATACATATATACATACATTACATACATACATACATACATACATTACATTACACTACTCTACACTACATTACATTACATCACATTACATTACATTACATACATACATTTACATACATACATACATACATACATGACATACATTACATTACATTACATTACATCACGTTACGTTACACTACATTACATTACATACACAAATACATACACACATACATACATACACTACATACATACATACATACATTACATACATACATACATGCATACATACATACATACATACATTTATACATACATACATTACATACATTACATACATTACATACATACATTACATACATTACATTACATTACATCACATTACATTACAATAAAAATTACATTACATTACATTACGTCACATTACATTTATACATACATACATACATTTACATACATACATACATGCATACATTATATACATTACATTTCATTACATAACATTGCATTACATTACATTACATACATAACTTACATACATACATACATACATACATACATACATACATACATACATTACATACATACATACATACATTACATACATACATACATACATACATATGCTTGCATGCACAACATACATTACATACATACATACATACATACATACATACATTACATACATACATACATACCATACATACATACATTACGTACATACATACACATACATACATACATACATACATACATACATACATACATACATACATACATACATACATACATACATACATTACATACATACATACATACATACATACATACATACATACATACATACATACATACATACATACATACATACATACATACATACATTACATTACATACATACATACATACATACATACATACATACATACATACATACATACATACATACATACATACATACATACATACATACATACATACATACATACATACATACATACATACATACATTACATACATACATACATACATTACATACATACATACATACATACATACATACATACATACATACATACATACATACATTACATTACATACATACACACATACATACATACATACATACATACATACATACATACATACATACATACATACATACATACATACATACATACATACATACATACATACATACATACATACATACATACATACATACATTACATTACATTACATTACATTACATTACATTACATTACATTACATTACATACATACATACATACATACATACATACATACATACATACATACCATTACATACATTACATTACATACATACATACATACATACATACATACATACATACATACATACATACATACATACATACATACAGTAACATACATACATACATACATACATACATACATACATACATACATACATACATACATACATACACACATACATACATACATATATACATACATTATATTAAATTAAATCACATTACATTACATTACAGTACAATACAATCCATTACAGTACATTACATTGCATCACATACATACATTGCATACATACATACATACATACATACATACATACATTACATACATACATACATACATACATACATACATACTAATACAAATGCATACACACACATACATACATACATAGCTACATAGATACATACGTACATGCATACACACATACATGCATACATACATACATTACATACATACATTACATACATACATTACATACATACATTACATACATACATTACATACATACATTACATACATACATTACATACATACATTACATACATACATTACATACATACACATACACATGCACACACACATACACATACGCATACGCATACACATACACATACACACATACACACATACACACATACATTACATTACATTACATTACATTACATTACATTACATTACACTGCATTGCATTAAATACATGCATGCATGCATTACATTGCATATATGCATACATGCATGCATGCATGCATGCATATATTACATACATTACATACATTACATACATACATTGCATTGCATTACAGTACATTACATTACATCACATCACATCACATTACAAGACAATACAATACATACATACATTTCACTACACTACACTACACTACATTACACTACACTACACTACATTGCATTGCATTACATTGCATTACATACATACATAGAGAGACAGGAATAGATATTGATATAGGTCTAGACATAGGCACGTGGTTCAACGAACATTGCATCATACGCTGGAATGTGATCAAATAGCATAAAGTGACAGAACCCCAAACCGGACTAGACTGGTACTTTGATGGAAAACCTTATTGATAGATTGGAACATTGATAGATGTATCAATTCTATTGCTAGCAATACACCTAGGTATCAAGTACTCTGTATGGGCTGCTTGTTTCCGGCTCTTCCAAACTCAGTGCGTTGTCTCAGATCATCTAAGGCTTGGGATTGGGAACATGAAAGCAAGCGAACAAAGAATCTCATGCAGGAAAGGGCATTTGATTATCAACTGTTCAACATACGTTCAATCTGTGCAATCTTTGGCGACAAAACGAGCACGAGTCAACCTTCAAGGCCCCTGCCGACAGTCACTCGCACAAATCATGCTGGATGGCTTTAGAAAAGCACTGATCGAAGCAGTGCTTTGTCGACAACAGGGACATCGCCTCTACGGCAACGTGACTCGCCCAAAACACTTGCATCTGAGGGGCATATCTATGGACACATGCTTCGGCACATACTTTAGCATGACTGAGGTGACATAACCGGAGGCAGACAGCATGATGCTGACAAGCACGAAGGTGTCCTGCACGAAGCGAACTAGCAAGCTTCAAACTATAGCGAATGTTCCCACCCAAAGTTCATGGGCAGAGACTGCAATTGCTGTACGGTTTGTGCTTAAGGATTCATAACCATCCAACCGGCGCTTGCGTATGCAAGCCAAACAGAAAAAAGGCAGCGACAAACGCAGTGTCTAAGGTTCCACCCTGTTGGAAGCATGTCTCCAAATGGGACCACAAACCGGATCATTGCCTGTTGGTTTCCCTTCCAAACCACCCCTTGCAGGGAACCCTCCAAAAAGCACACTCCCCTAGGTCACGGGTGAATGATCGCCTCTGGGGTCCCAGGGTGCAGCTCGAACTGGGCAAGCTTGGGGCAAAAGTAGGATCCAAAGTCAAAGGAATGCCTTCTTCATTTGTCTGATGCTGTTTGTTCCACCTACATGGGACAGAGGCCATGGCCCTTTCAGCAACCCCGCCTCTCTAGGCGCCAAGCCAGACTCCGATTGATTCAAATATCACTCGGGGCAGAGCAACCAGAAGCCGCACCAGTGAATACAGCATGCAATGTGGACAGTCTTTTTCTGGTGAACAAATCAGCGATGTTGGACTTTGAGAAATTGATGTCTCTGTTCTGCTGTTGAAATTCGCTCTCGCCTCGGTTTGTGGCTGCAGCCGTCATGGTGGCAAGGTGGCAAGGCGGCAGGGTGGCGGCAGAAATCGGTCGCGAACACATGCAACAGCACAGCGCCCTTCAAATACCTTGCAGAACACCGGGGACCGGTGCATGCAAAAAAGGCGCGTTGTGCAAACCATGACGCAAGCACGGGATATGCATCCCGTTCTTTCCAGCATTTGCCCGAAGACTCATCAAAATAGTCCAACTCAACTCACTCCACGATTTTGCCAGCTGTTCGCAAACCCTTGCCGCCTTGTCCTCATGCAGTTTGCAGCCCGCAAGGTCGAAAGAGCTGAACACACCCCGAGAAAAAAACAAGATTCGCTGTATTGCTTGCTGCCAGTCCTCTTCCAAGTGGATGGTAGCGATTGCATTGCCTGCTTTTAAGCTGGTTCGGACGATTCGCCTGATTCTCGCTGTTGGAATCATTTGCTGAACCAATGAGCAGGGAAAATAACAACTGCAAGAGTTCACCTCTTAAAGCAAACAAATGCATACAACACGAACATGAAACACGAACAGCAAGTGGTGGCGAAGCGCCACAATTATGCAAAGCCCGCGAAACATAAACGCTCATATAATTGAACAAGGTTTACCCAAGTCCGCAAAGGGTTTTCCTACCGCAGCAGCTCACAGAACGTCGAAAGGGTTCGCACGCATTGCCAATTGAATGTAGCTGCCGTCTCAGAGAGTCGTAATATTCATTGGATATTTTGGGTTCCCAAATATTTGCTGGTGATTCCGCTGTGCCCGTTATCTAATCACCGGCCCCGGTAGGTTTACTCCCTGTCATTGATTCATCCAGCATGTATTGGGCACAGGGCTTTGAGCTGACATAAGCGCCGCTTGAAAGTGTTTTGGGTATTTGTGGGAAAAATCACAAGTGAAACAAGCACTGAAGGTCAGGACAAGGTATGGGAAGGAAACAAAACAAAGGCATCACTCCTTGAGATCGCTTGCCAGGTCCGTCTTCTCAGTGCTCCTGCCTTTCTCCCGTTCAGCTGCACATCCGCCATCTCCGGCGGCCTCACGAGGCTTGCACCCAAACTAGGTGGAGGCCCGAGTTGCATACTGACCCTGGTAGGAAACGGGGGAGGTATTTGGGGTAGACCAACTCAACAGGGAAAGACCCTGGATTTGATCTTCTGGGCATCTTGAGCCAAATGGTCTTTGCCATCCGACAAGTCTGTGCAAAGCAAAAGGGGCCTCCAACATTCCAACATCACATACATGCACACCATTCTGGGGTGCCTCTTTGGGGGTCAAGGGGTCGTGATTATTGTGCTCACTAAGAGACTTGTACTTTACAGTCGCGCTTGAGCTGCGACCTATGTGATGCAAGGTCCTTTACCAGACCATAAGGAGGGCTTATGATTTTGCACTTTTGTTACTGCTTGGACATCTCAGGCCGGACATCTTTCAGCTTGTCAGGCAAATTGGTTCGGATGCCTAAACGCTTTAGTGCGTGGTCCCACTTCAAGGGCTGCAGTGCCTTCGTAAAGATATCGGCTGCCTGGAGATCAGTAGCTACATACTTGATTACTACACCCGTGCCGGGTTCAAGTTGCTCAGCAAGTGCGGACAAGTTCACTTTATGAGTGCGCTGTGTGTGCCGCATTTTTGGGGAGTAACCTTTCTTGGCAACGAGGATAGTGGCTTGGTTATCTTCGTGCAGCACCAGCTCAACCGGACGTCCAAGCAGACGTTCCCACAAGGTCAAGGAGGGAAGACCCTCTTGATACAAGGAGAAAGTGAGCGAAACGACCTCGGCTTCGGTGGTGGATCTCGACACTGATGTCTGTCGTTTGCTCAACCACGCTAAAGGAAAATGGGTGTTCGGTCCTTTGAGGACCAGGAACTTCGCATCCCTTTCTCCAGCATAGTCGGCATCCGCACACAGAGCGAGGTGAAGATCTTGCGGGTTGTCCTTTATGACTCCTACCAACCGGTAGTGCGTAGTCGAGTGGCTGTATGCGATAAGACGGGCGAGTTGCGTATCATGGTTGCGAGACCACTTCTGCACGGCGGTTGCTAGGTCGCCTATGGGCTTGATGATGTCAGGACGCGCTAGTCGTCCCAGCCATAAGGCCTTCATGAGGAGTTTGCACGCGTTTGGGGCTAGCTCACCAGCTGACTGATCATCTTCTGGAGGAAGTGATCCGTCTGGACAGAACGGAGTAGTTACCTTCCGGAGCTTCTCGGGCTGAGTGCCGGTTATAGAACAAAACAGTTCTACAGTTTGACGGGCATAGTCATTCATGTCAAAGGCAACGGCACCCTTTAATGCGCTTACAGCTGCATTCAGATCATGCTCTTGAGGTTCTGCGGGGCCATCTATAAACACATGATTACGCCCGAGCACCCGAAAGATCGGCTCGGGAGGCTCTACATTTATCCATTTTGTAAGCTTTTCCCAAAAGGCTTCATGTGCATCTGCGGGACCCGAAAGGGTCAAGTCATCGACGTAAGTCGAGAGCATAAGGCCTACCCCTTTAAAGAAAAAGTTTCCAGGAAACTCTGGGATTTCTTCCCCTCCCAGCTGCTTAAGCAGTTTCTTAAGGTGTGCCTCCCACAGACCTCCTGCGTCAGGGTGACCATATAGGGCACGAATCAACGAGACCACGGGTTTCACGAACTTGGAACCCCATTCCTTTGGCCGCAGCTTGGGCGGGAGTTCAATCCACGTCTGAAACTGTGAGCTAAGGAACGCCTGGACATAGGCTTTTACCGCGTCAGCGGTGGTGACCGTGTGTCCTGGGATACACCCATACGCCAGACAGGCGTTTAGGCCTTGTACCGAGGTGGGGTTGGCCCCCAGTTCCTGGTACACCGCGGGTGCACCGGCTTCATCTTTTGCACAGTCTTCCCTGAACACGATGCGCCCCTTTACCTTTTGGAGGTGCTTCGCAAGTTCATAGAACTTGATGCTGGCGATCGTCATGAGCTGACCAAAGTGCACCTTGATTCCAGACTGTCGCGCTTGAGCTGCGACCTCAGCCTTCTCCCGGACAGTTGAACTATCCCATACTCCTACGTCTTGGAGTCCGGTCGCCTCCTGCTTGATTGCCTCTAATGCTTCAGGAGACGCAAGCATCTCGGCACGGGACAGGAGTTTGGTGACCATTGCATGCGCTTCTGTTTCGACAGCCTTGGCGGGTATGCCGACAGCACTAGCGAGTAGACCTTGGACGTCCAGGAGTTCCTCGACGATCTCTTTCGTCTTAGAGTCTGATTCAACGAGGAGGGTGAAGTCATCCGCTCCGGAAAAAGGAGATTCGTGCTTTAGGGATTGCTCCTTAACACGATGCTCCGTTTGCTGAGTGACTGGAACAACGGGCATTGCTTGAACCGGAGTCCTACACACTTTGGGATACAACGCTTTGGCGATCAAACCACACATTTGCTCAGGGTAGAATGCAGTGCGGGAGGTTCGGCTCCCTGCCGCCCTGGACAACCATTTAACCACTTTTCACGGGGTCATTCTGCTCAGGACCATGAAATTCGGTTTTCACGGCCATTGCCTTTTTTCACGGCCACTGCTTGCACTTCACGTTTTTTCACGGTTTCGGCCCGTTTTTCACGGCCATTCACGCGTTTTTCACGGCCTTTTCACGCTTTTTCACGGCCATTCAGCGTGCTGCTGGAAATATAGCCAAATGGTTCTCCAGGGCTGGAGTGTGTTTTTCGGACTTTGTGTGCGGACACTGGCGATCAGCGAATGCTTCGGCAAGGGCCTTTGATGTAGTTTTGATGCGCCAAGGCTTCTTGATGGGTGAACCATTTTCATCCGTCAAGCCCACAGCACAGCCGTGGAACGAAACACCGTGGAACACGTCCTTGTGGCGTTCGAAGAACTCGGCTACATCTGGCCTCTGCCAGCCCTCGCAGTCACGTGGCCACTCGAAAGTGACTGATCCGCCGGCCTTCAAAACATGCTCGGCGTGCAATGCAAACTTTGAAAACATCACTTTGGACTGCTTCACTTTTTCTCCCAACTTTTTCTTAAACGGCTTACCTAACCTGTGGAGGTTCAGCCTCTGCCAGGGCGATCCTGAGACACATGGAATGGCTGCCCACAAGTTGGGTTGGACGCACTGCAAGATTTGGTACGCGAGCTGCTCATTCGCAACGGCTGACTCTAAGTCAATGTACTCCTTTGCTAATCGGACATGTGGGATGTTGAGATCCTTGAACACATTACCCATTGAGGAATTGGGTGAACAAGCAAACTCAAACATCGGGCCAACAGCATCATGCGCTAGGCGCTTGCGAGCACGCTTATTGCCAACGGTGATTGGAGGGCGTTCATCGCCCCCCTGAAGCTGGCAAGGGTTACCGAAAACGGACGGCTTTTCCCTCGTGGTCTCAGCAAGTGTTGTGCTGGAAGCGGTTGACACGGTAACGGCTGCTCCTGAGCTGACTGGGATGTTACCCCCCTATATAACCTAAAAATGGTTATGCCAGTCCAGAACGCAGGGAGTTCTCGATGTGCTGAGAATCTGCCTGCCCAACCATCACTGATATCTTCCTTGCTACCATCTTGCTGGGACACAACGCGAGTGGTCCCACCGGGCGTGATTCTGCACACTGACACGGGACAGTCACCGACATCCTTGGGAGTGAAAAGTTTAATCCTAGGCTGATGATGCACGCGGATTAACACGTTACCACTAGGCTTATAAACCCATTCATCCTTCTTGGTTGATGCGGGGACAGCGTCGGTATGCGGAACACTGGGCCGAGAAGAGGCGGGCTCTCCAAGCAAGGCACGGACGATATCGGGGTCTCCCTCCTCAGGTGCCTCAATCTCTGGGGCTTCTGGAGGTTCTAGGGAGGACGCCTTTGCAGCGCGTATAGCAGCTGCCTCATGTTCACCCTTACTTGGTTTGGTGGCCTCCTCACTTGCGTCCTTTTTGGCCTTCGCTTCTTCCTTTTCACTTTCAACTAGCTCTGCAAACCTTTTGCGGCATTCGTCAGTGTGATGCCTAGAACTAGCATGGCCGGTGCAGGCCAGGAGTCTCCTTGAACTTTATAATCCGTTCAATGGTGATGTACACACTTCGTGACATAAAGCCTGACGGAGTTGACGGGGCAGGGATGCCTTCAGGAATGAAAGGAACATCTCTGATGGCATACTCAGGAACCTCGCCATCGCCTGTTCGCAGGGCTCGATCGGCAGCGGCCGCGATCGGGAAAACAGGATCGCCTTCCTCGACGAACAACTCAGGTTCGGGCACATCATGGACAGTAACATTTCCATTGGTCCTGAAACTTTGGTAGTCCATAACTTTTAGTACCCTTCGATATCGCATCCCTGGATCGATGCGCCAACCCATAAACAAGCCTGGAGCCATGTTGGGTTCTAGGGTTCTCTTTCCAGCTGACTTTAGGCGATACCAAACGAGCTGTCCGAAGCAAAAGCGGACGCCGTCGAACTTCTCCTTGGTGAGTGCTTCCCATCGCGTCTTTGTCGGATCGAACGTGGACGGTCGGTCGAAAGACATCGAGAGGCATGCAAAGGGATAGGAGTGCGTGTGCAGAGAGTAGGGCAAACCCGATTGATGGTGTATGCTCCTGCAACACTCCTTCTCCTCCCGGACATCTCGCTCGAGCTCGGAGTTGTGTGGCCAGCGATTCGGCAACGAAGTTTCGGGGATCATCCCTACTTCCTCGGCCGCTCCCTGCAACTCTCCAGCTTCGTCCATTTTTATGAGACAGTGTGGAGCGAGTTCGTTGGCTCTGAGTCCAATGAAATGCCTGAGATTCCTTGCGTGCGACGGAATGTCTCTCTTAGAGACCGGGTGTGCGACCCTTGCGCCGGAAAACACATCCCTGATGACATGGTGGGATGTTATTCCGCCTATGCCGATGCCAACGTGTTCATCGCCTTTCGCCAAGAACACACTATCAGTAGCGAGCTGCTGGTAGGGAGCGGTGGGTGCGTCGAGAAGATCGTCACTCCGCCCCCTTGGTTTCCGGGCAACACGCATTGAGGTGTTCTTAGCGATGTTGCAAATCTTGCAGAA